TGCAGCACCGTCAGGAGCAGCGTCCTCTTCAGGAACTGCCAGGTTGTCCCGGTTCACAGCATTGGAGCAGGAGGTAGCTGGGCTACGCTCCTCAGTGACTGATTTGGGCATCCGTGTGGACGCGATGGCTGACCGACAAGCCAAGTCGGAGAAGAAGTTCATGGGTTGGCTGCGAGCTCTGGGACGTGCGTGCAACGTAAACCCAGACACCGTCTCCGACCAGAAGTGAGACTTCAGGGAGGTTCCCTAACTTCACTGTTTTTTCAATTTTAAGCCATGAGGACATGTCTTTATCTTTAAGTGTGGGGTGGGGGTACTTCATTGTATGTATGTAGTTGTATCAATTGATTGTTGGTTTTGTTTTGTTTTGGTTGTTTGACTTTGATAGTGTTGGTGTTAAATAGGAATCATTAGTTTAAAATAGATAAATGGTTCGTCCCGACGACGGATCCCTTTCGACGGGGTTCTTGAGGGACTAAGTTGGAAAAAAAAAATTGAAAATATGTAGACTCTTCCTGATGACGGATCTTTTAGACGATTTTCTCTAGGGAAGTTAGTCTAAGAAAAACACCAAAAAGATTTTTTTTAGGTAGTGTAGCAACTTCCCCTTGGTTTTTCTTTATACCATGGTTCTTTTCCAAAGGTTTAACTTGAACCGGGTGTAGATAGTTTCTATTTTTATTTTATTTTTACTTGTAGATTAGGTTAAGGGGCTACGAGCTAGAAAATTCAAAAGAGAACCCATAACGTTAACACACCTGAACACAATAGACCCTAGAGTGTAACGCTTAGTCTTGTTTGTTGAATCTCACTAAAGTGCCTTAATCTGTATGTTTGACTGAATTGAATGCTCGTAATGGAGTATCTTGAGGAGCTGATCTGAAACGAGTCATGTGCCATGTGTGGTGAGGTTTTGTGTAGTCCATGTTGTGTACTTGTGTCTAGAACATGCCCGGTATGTGAGTTGAAGCGAAATTTTAGGTAATTCTCGGTTTGAAAGATGATTTTAGGCTTTCTTTGATCTTTTTGAGCTTAATTGCTTACCACAAAAATAAAAGCTATCCCTAGTTAACCCTTTGAGCCTATGGACTTTTCTTTGGCACCCACATTACAAGCCTATATCCTTTTTATTCTTATTTGATATCTTTGATCCTTTTTCCTCTTAAAGCACTTTAATTGTAAGATGAGCGCTAAAAGAAGTAAGAAGGGACTAGCGTGGGGTAGCTTTTGAGTGGAACCAATGAAAGAAAGATGGGTGCACTTATATTTGTAAAATAATACACCACTAGCAGAAATTGAAAAAAAAAGAAAAAAAAGAAGAAAGGAGAAATTTTGGGGTGATATTGTTTGTGAAATTGAAGTAGGGATTGAAGAATTTGCGCTCAAAGTGATTATGTGATGTGTTAAAGTGCTTAGGAGGGTGAACCACTATTCCTAAATATATACTACCCGTCCGTTAGCTCATATTACAACCATGAAAAAGTCCTAATTGATTTTAGGCCGAGTGAGCCTACATTAGTAGAGATTTACATTAAGGGCAAGCTTATGGTACCAATTGCATGCATGTGACTTCTTTTGTGAGTGTGAGTGATTTTTCTTTGACATATGTAAGCATGAAAACTCGATTGTGTGGATTGATCTATATATTTCTGTTGTGAATGAGAGGGAATGTGATTCGTGAAGGAAAGGCAAGTCTTAACCTCTGTGTAGAGTATGTTGAGGAAGTATGAATATTGCATGGCACTTGAGAGTCGACCTTTGAGGCTAGGATTGTTCACTGCTAGGCGTAATGTATATAAATTGTTTTGGGTGTAATGCGTTAGGGGAAATGGTCGAGTGAAGGAATCTCTAGAGAGTATAGTTTGATTGCTCGAGGACTAGCAATGAATTAAGTGTGGGGTTTTGATAATAGGTTAAATCTAGGTGATTTAGCTATTGTTTATGCTTCCGCTTGATTATATTCCACTGTCATAATATGGTTAATTGATGAAAATAGGCTCTAATTGTGAATTGTATACATTGCAGGATGAGGAGCTTATGTGATGCTTTCAAGAGGCTATTGGAATGATTTATGAGCAAGAACGACCCCTCGTAGCTGAGTGCGCGCAAGGACGAGACAAAGAAATGGAAGAACTGATGGCCCAGGTGCGCGAGCAGATGAGCGAAGTCGCGCGTGTTAGGGAGCTGAGGCCGAATGATGTGCAAAGTTATGCGTGAAGTCACGCGCGAGCTCGCGCGTTTCCCAGTCCAAAAAAGAGTTATTCAGGGGCAAAATTGGAAATCTGGAGAGAAACCCACTTAACCCTATATAAAGTCAAGCTCGCCCAAGGTTAATTATCAAGTTTTTCATAGGCTAGTGCAAGGTATCAAGAGGCAAGAGGCAAGGAGGAGATTTGACCTTCAAGTTCTTC